GACATGGAGTTTATCCTTTTTCCATTTTCTCTCTGCACACCTGCAGGTGCTTCTAAGAGCGCGAGTACAGTCATTGAGCCACGGCTCTGAGAGAACTTTGGTGCGTCTAAGCGTAAAAGGAGCAACAGAATCCAGTATTAGTGTACATGTCGAGTCAAACATGGAGATAAGCTCATCAGCACTAAAAACACAGTTCACCTCTAATTTACAGATAGGAGAAGCATTAAAAACATCAGAAAACTGTGAGACAGTCAAGGGGTTAATCGAACGCAGACGACGCGCAGGGGCACGTGATTCGACTCCTGCGGAAGGGATCGAGGTTGTAAACAGAACTGGTAAATGGTCTGAGATACGCGTTGCTGCACATATTTCATCCACAGATACAGACAGTCCAAACGATAATACTAAGTCCAAAGTGTGTCCTTTTTCGTGTGTTGGGCCAGCCACGGACTGAACGAGACCAAAAGAATCAAGAAGATTTAAAAAGTCCCTAACCAGAGGTTTGGACTCGCAACACACATGGACATTGAAGTCTCCGGAGATCAAAACACGATCATATTTCACCATGATCCCGGACAGAAAGTCAGAAAAGTCATTTATAAAATCCTTATTGCACTTTGGCGGACGATACACGACTGCGCAGAGTATAGGCGAGGCCGGGTTCAGTTCAAAAAGCTGCAACTCAAAGCTAGCATAGCTAGTTACAGGGTGAAGCAATCGGCATTAGAGGCTAGCTCTAAACACTGATGCTATGCCCCCACCATGGCCGGTGGCACGGGGGGAGCTGAAGAATGTACAGTCAGGAGGAAGAAGTTCAGAGAACGGAGTGATTCTATAATTTAGGGTGCATTTCACATCAACAAAACAGTACAAAGAAAGTGTTCTTTCTTAATAGAACAATCAGTGGTTCAAGTTAGTATATTCCTCAGTGTAACATATCCACTGGTTGCAAAGCTTAAACATTTTTTTATTTTATTTGATATAAATGTAATAACTGTTACTACAGTTATTACAGTACTGGGTAACTTAGTTGACAGGTAACCTAGTTGACAATTTCCCTATTTTGACCCATCATTTCAATGGTAGGCCTTGCTTGGATGACCACATGTCATTTTCTTGAACAGGTTAACATCACATTTGAACATATAATTGAATTAAAATCATTAAACAATTGTAAACCATAACAATGTACGTAACATTGTTGATGGTCAATGAATATACTCATTGACAATGTGCTATTATACATAAAATATTGTAAAAAATTAGAGGACAATCACCACAGTGTGTTCAAAATGTCTGCCAAAGAGGAACATGGCATCATGTGATGCTGGTGACATGGTATTGGGACAAACCATTTTTGAGTTAAATGGGGGAGTTCTGTTAGTAACATAGTTGACAGAACTTTTGCGGACATTCATATATTAAGATATTTAAATTATTTAAAGGAGGAAATCAATTAAAAAGATGTTATTATTCTTTAGTATTTAGACTTTTGAAATAAATGAATACTTTTTTTTATTTACTTTAATGGTTTTTATTCATTATTTTGAAACCAAGACACCCTCAACTGAAAAACGGACAGAGCAAAAACTGACAATTTAAGAACATCATGACACATTTCAAGGTAAATAAAGCATAGGATGCACATAATGTTTGTGTGATATTATAACATGCTTTCCAATAATAGGCAAAATATGATATTTTTGAAGAAAATAGTTGGAATAATTATAATTATCATCAATGGACATCAATGGACATGGAATGTACCCTAAATTGTAGAATCACTCGTATACTCGCCAGCGTGGACCCAGGTCTCCGTCAGAAACATAAAATCCAGTTCACGAGAGGTGAAGAAGTCGTTTAGCAGTTTTGCTATCGACCTAGCATTTAGCAAAGCCATGCAAAGTTTTCGCTCCGGGCTTGCCGAAGGTGTAGTGCGTCTCAGCTGACGAAGATGTGCGTGTTGAACGCCGCGCGGGCCGGGAGCAGTCAGTCGGGCAGGAGGAGCTGCCAGCGGGCCCAGCAGAGTCCGCAGCTCCGGAAAAACAGGGCGAATCCATCGATCCCTCACATGGCGTGCAGCGGGAGGGACCAGTGCACCACCACGCTTTCCCCGCCGTCTAAAGCGCTTTCGGCGAGGCAGGATGCAGGGCAACCGGCGCAGGTAGGTGGGAATATTCGACAGTAGAGGGGGGGGGGACGATTTATGGTTGCCAGATGTAGGTTTGGGCAGCAATATCAACTCCAGTGAGGGTCTGAGGTGGAGGAGAGCTTGGCGATCGTAAACGAGCAGAGCAGAGACATTCTGACAAACATAAAACAAAAACAGAATAGCTAAAGGTAGAGAGCTGAGGGAGCGGCGAGCCGACACAGGGGCCATCTTGAATCACGTCAGAATCACGTTACCCTAAGGGCAAAACAAGCTGAAAAAAGGGTAATTTAGAAACAAGTGAACTATAACTGATGCTGGAGAATAAGGAGAAGTAAAGGTGTGAAGGAACACATTGAAAAACACTTGGCTTTCTACAAAGATCTTGTGAGGTAATAAATCCTGAACGTTTGACTGGGTGACCCTGGCTTCTATTCCCCTGTAGCCAGCCGGGATTAGTAGATTGATCAATAGCCGGCTGTCATCAATAAGACGGCCTGGCTCCTGTTGATGGGCCCCGATGAGACCTGAAGGTATGAGGATGGAGATCCATTGGTCTGATGCTGACAGCTCCTGCAGCCCAGGGAGTCAGGAGGGAACGGTGCCTACAGCAAACCTCAATGAAAAACAACAAGGGTGTTATTTTAGTGTTTAGCTTTTTCTCTCTGACTTCCTGTCTTATTTGAGCTTTTCTAAGCCTAAGTAATGTAATGCTTTACTGTACACAGAGTATTTGTGGGTGGATGGAGAGGAAGGCTGACTGTGGTCACATTTTGTGGACTCATGTGAACCAACCCAGGGGGGTTTAAATCCACATGGAGCTAATGTTTGGAGACTAGCCGTCAGACTTTACATATTTCAGTGAGACAGCTGGACCAGGCGGGGAGGCTTTCAATGTAGAACTTTTGCTGAATTATTTCTGAGAATGCATAATACATGATCCTGGAGATCACGAGGGAAGGGGGGGGGGCGGCATGAGATTCCCACCAATACCAGCAAGCATTACATTCCTTCATCTTCTCCTCTCCTCTCCTCTGTCACGTCATACATTCACAGATTGTATTAACTTCTCCCTCTCACTACCTGTCCTTGAGAAGTATCTGGGCTCCAGCGGTACTTCTGTATGTCATTCTCATTCACAGGACTCAATGTGATTAGAGAGGCTGTGTTTTGGCTGCAGATTAAGCCACTTATCACGACCAAGGTCTGTGAATATATCCATGTAGAAACACACTTGAAAAACCCCTAACTTCTTCAGAAGGCCTCGCCCTCTGACAAAACACATCCGATGATTACATACCGTTTACAGTAATCCTCTGTGTGTCATGTGGGCGTTGCTTTTTACCAGAAATAATGTCCCTATTGTTTGCAGCATTTACATAAATGATAACAAACCTGCAAAAAGGAATCAAGTCTGTCCATGATGTAAAGACATCACTTTGGCTCTCATTAGGCTGGCCATATTTGACAATTATAAACAGATGCTGAGCTCACGCTGTCTGCGTCACATGACTCCTTTCATACAAATTGGCTGTGATTTGATTTGCTTCCTCAGTGGGTTATAAATGGGGTTGCATTTTCCCATCTTACTGGCCATGTCTCATCTGATGATGGTTTGCCCTGACATTATAGTTGTTGCACAATTGTAGCTTATTTTGGCCTCAGAGCATGTTCAGTTTTTTGGTATGCGAAACATATGCTAGTTTAATAATTTACTGTGAATGCAACAGTAAATGACTGGGACTAATATCTACTGTCTGCACTGTTGTTTCCTCCTGCTGATTGTCTTCAAATCAATACCTAAGAAGAGGGGAGGCGGGGCGGAGGAAGAGCAGTCTTGCATCTTTGATGAAGAGTGATACTGTGAAATTACAGGAGTGTGTTACTATTCTCCTTAGCACGTTTGACGGGTGAAAACAGTTTGTGGTGTAGCAGGTGTAAGCTGGATCTAAATCATTAAAATTGTAGCACCTGCAAGATGAAAAATATCTGTCTTTTCTCTTTACTAAGGAACTGTACTGCTGCGTTTAAAAACATTACATTGGAAACAAGGGCATACTGTGTCCTCCATGTAACACCAGAAGCCAGGCTAATAGAAAGTCAAGTTTATTTTATGGTTATAGATTACCAATTTCACCTACAAGGCTTTACAATACAACATTTGACAACCTGAGGAGGAGCAGCGTAGGAGGCGTACCTCTTCCAGGACAAACAGACATGATTTAGATGTAGTATGTACAGAATAGTCATGAACAAAATATCCAACAATCATGGGGTATAGTTGCTCAGGGTTGTACATTTTACAATCCAAACCTTTAAATCAAACCTGTTTGAATTGAACCGTCCTCCATGTATAACTGTCTCTTGTTGACCCCGAGAGGACCAATTCTTTCACATCGTTTTTTAAGAGGACAAAGTAACATTCTAGTAAATCAGCCCATTACAAGCTTCCACTAGAATAAAGTGGGAACAAAAATGAAAATGTTTTTAAGTAGGCCTATCTGTAGGCTACTTTCTAGCGCCCTCTGATGGAGGGCAGTTAGTTTGTGGGTGAGTTACAAGCTCTTATTACATCTAAGATCGGCTAATGTTGATTTTTATGTTTCCTCTGATACAACTATAGAGTTAAGAGTGTAAAATAAATATTCTAATGTGTGGCCATGAACCCACACATATTAAATACAGTCTGTTTGCTATACTGGAAGGATGGTGCGCACGCACGCACGTCAACGGTGTAATTGTACATGCACGCGCTCGTGAGAACATGCGTGTTGGGGCTTATTGCGGTTGCGCTCTCGCTGTCTTGAATTTGTCCCGCGGATGCATGAGAGGAGAAGCAGGCAGAGCAAAGTGAGCAGGACGAGAGGGGCTGCGCACAAAAACGGACGTGGTGAGCAGAACAGATTTTTCAGGACCAGGAGACGAGAGTGCAGGCTGAAAACACAAACGACAGCAGCAAACCCTCTGCACAACTCTGTTTTCCAGTGTTTTTTGAGCACACGCCCCCAGAAATCTAATCGGGGGAGGTCGCGTGCGGGGTCCACCGTCTGCTCATTAGCTGCCCGGCTTCAGACGCTGCCGCGCGCCCCATGATGGACCAGCTCTGGTGATCCGGAGAAGAAGACCAGACGTCAACAAGTCCACAGTGCTTTGAGAAAATGGGCTGTTTTTACATTGAGGAGGGGAGAGCATTGCTGTAACACCGGCGGAACATGGCAGGGGTACACGCTTCAGATGTTGTGTCGGGACATTTTCTGGATCCTACCCTCGGCTCCCCGCCAGCCCAGGGCGCGACCGATACAGCGGGAACCCCCGGAGAAGCGGCCGCGCTGACTCTCACCGGTACCCGGGCGTACTTGGAGGTGTCGGCCGCTGCCCACGGGTACGGGGCCGAAGGAGTGTACACCAACGGACGGTACAGGGAGCACGGCAGTCCAAGGAGTGGCAGCCGTGATAATTCCGCTGACAGGAGTCAGGGAGCTGGAAACATACCTTGCGGCATCATGAAGGTTGGTTGGTTCAAACACTTAATTCTCTTGTCAACGATTGTCAAGGTGACACAAGGGGAATTTGCTAAGTGACTGTGCCACACTATAGCGCGTAAACACAGTTACTCCAACTCTAGTCCAGACACTTTCAGGGGTACTGCTGGGTCCCAGAAAAGGATTTAGCGTAAAGTTAAGCACAGGGAGATAACGAATGAGGGGATTATCCCCAATGAGTCTTAATGTCCCCACTAATAGCAACAGCAATATATTACACTCATAAGTACTAATGGTAAGATCCTTACTTTGGCTCTGCTATACTGTAGTTTGGGTCCTTCAAACTCACTTAAGTTAAGCCGAGCATCTAAGTCATATTTTCATCCTGAACTAAAGCAAAAGGTGCCTGATCATTTGCTTTCTTAAGATTCAGTTGCTAAAGCTGCAGTTACTGCCAAAACAGTGTATGTGTAATAGTTGTCGCTTAGGTTTAGGTATTACTATAACATTCCTCTACTGTGAAGATGTATTTAAAGAATAATAAAACATTTTGTATAGTTGCAGGTACATGCAGGGTTAATTATTTTAACACCTGCATATTTAGAAGTAATAGTAGGTTTGTCTGAAACAGATGGTGCATAGCATTAAGTGTGCTTTAAACGTTTGCCTATTATAAATCTGATTTGTGGTCCATCTAACTCAATATAGCTCTTCGATAATGAATCGTGTAATGATCATATTTTTAATGGTTGCCCAGCTTTTATTAGTGCTCCCATTACTGTAGGTTAATTAACTGATCTTCATCACACCGACATAGGCAAGTTGGCAAGTTTCCTCATAGTTTTATGTAATGTTGCCCCGTGATATGCTTTTAAGTGCACACAAATGCATTGGTTTTTACAACTCAGTGTGCACTCGGTCATCATGACAGACTGCATCATGTGGTCCTTGGTGGAGATGCAAGTATTGCGTAGGTGGGACACACTGGAGAGTTTCTGTCATATCAGACCTAGTTTGCTTAGCAACTGACACAAAACACCGGCTAATTCTTTATTCTCCCATTATTGTATTCCCTTTGGATCTGGGCAAACAGCGCATCCTCCCACAAATAAAGTGCATGTTTGAATGGACGCAGGCACTGACATTGGTTTAGTGTTGTCAATGCAATGGTATCTATATAAAGGTACCATTTGTTCTTCCTAAAGAAAGAGATCTTGAAATATCACGTATAAAGCAGTATATCCCTCCTCTCCCTCCACAAACATCAGTCCACCTCTGTGAAGCTCATGAGCAAAACATGACAGGAAAGCTGGGGGGGGGATTGTGCTGTCTGAACGTGATTGATAACAATTCTTCAAAGACTAATTCTGTGAGTATCGTCTTCATATAACGTTGGAAAGTGATCCTGCTGAGCTTTGGCTGGCGCAGTGTGATGAAGCGCAGCAAATTCTCTTGTATTGCCGCCTAGAATAACCAGGGACAGCTCGAAAAATGAGTTCATCTGTGGCGATGCACGAACACATTTACTGTACCTGAGGCTGTGTTGATGTGTAGTTTCCATAACCAAGCAGTGATCTCACCACACTCGAAGGCAACAATCTGGTCGATGTATTTTCAATACAGAATAATCCACATACTGCAGGCGTTTGAGTGTATTGAATGGCATGAACGGTCTGTCGACTCTTGTCACTCGAGTGTGACCCTCTAGAGTTGTGTTTAATGACCCCAGTAGTGATATACTGTCTTAAAAGTGAACCGATATTTCCACATCTCTTTTTCTTATGCGGAAGACCACATTTTTGGCTGATTACTAAACGGATGCAGAGAAGCTGCAGGCTGTTTACTTGGTGCAATTCCCTTCTTTTGTGTTTCAGCTGTACTTCAGACAGTTCAAACTCTTTTGCATATATTAAACTCTACTATCTTTTTGAAATAATTTGTATTCTGTCTTCCAAACACCGCGCCAGCATAACATCTCCTTTTCGGGGCCAGTTTGAAAGGAAAAGTCCTTCAGCTATTTCTTGTTAACCGTTACTCTGTTTTATGTGGCTCACCTTGTAGAGCAGGTTTGAGCATTTAACAGATTCAAGGTGAAACCCAGCCTGAAATTGTATCATTCAATACTGTCTGATGTTCAGCACATGTGTCTAAGTAAGGTTTGATTTCCCTGAGCACCTCTACATTGCACGTAAGGGTCACAAAATGATACATACTGTTAGAGCAGAGCATGTTGGGAAACCGGGTCAGCCACTCTGTAGAGTTGCTTCATGTATAGATTTAGCACAGCCACCAACACTTGAGCTGTGTGTGTGTGTGTGTGTGTGTGTGTGTGTGTGTGTGTGTGTGTGTGTGTGTGTGTGTGTGTGTGTGTGTGTGTGTGTGTGTGTGTGTGTGTGTGTGTGTGTGTGTGTGTGTGTGTGTGTGTGTGTGTGTGTGTGTGTGTGTGTGTGGTGTGTGTGTGTGTGTGTGTGGTGTGTGTGTGTGTGTGTGTGTGTGTGTGTGTGTGTGTGTGTGTGTGTGTGTGTGTGTGTGTGTGTGTGTGTGTGTGTGTGTGTGTGTGTGTGTGTGTGTGTGTGTGTGTGTGTGTGTGTGTGTGTGTGTGTGTGTGTGTGTGTGTGTGTGTGTGTGTGTGTGTGTGTGTGTGAAAGGTGATGGGGCCACAGTTTCATGGGAATAGGGAAGCAAATGAGCAATTACTGCACTGCATTACCTCATTAACTTGGCCCTCAACAAGCAAATCTTAGAAGAGTGGAGTTTGTGCGTCTGTCCCTTAAGCGGGCGTGCAACTTTGTCCTCTTGCCATTTCCTCAACGGGTTGACAGTGTCATGGTGGAGAGGCTGCAAAGTGGCTAGAGGGGGGGTGTGATGCAGCCTTGTTATGTAATCTGGACTGTGGACAGCTGCAAGCCCGGCTCCAGCCTGGCTGCTGGGTGGAGGGGACTGACAGCCAACACAACTAGGGAAGGAGCATGATTTTATCAATTTAAGAATGATGCTATTGTTTTCTTGCATCTCTCCCAAGCATTTCCATATACATATTTGTCCTTTCTTCTTTCTTATTCCTCTTTTAAAATCCTTCACCTTAGCAGTATTGAAGGTCAAAACTGTATTTTCAGAGATGAACAAGAAAATGAAAACAGGTCAAGGTTAAGAGTGATCCGAAAAGAAGGAAACACAACAATGATGTAATGCTTTAAGTTTCCATCAGGAATGAAAATCAATAAGGATCACACCGTTATGATGCTGTAAGGTCCTCTCTCACACCCACCTTCCGCACTCTGCCTCCATGAGTGGCAGGATATCAATCCATATTCCAATCCTTGACCTCATATAATAGATTGGAGCCAACATGACCCAGTGTGCCCCCTGTTCAGTGTACCGGCATGCTCAATAGGAGACCTGCATGATTGGCTTATGGAGGGGTCAATCCTGTCGACTGAAAGTGAAGCTGAAAAAGAGAACATCTTAGAGGAGGGGGTGATACTTTGATTTTCAATCAGTTTCAAAAGCGAGAGATTCATCTTATTTCTATTCAGGTCAACTACATTTGTTAGATGGGACATTAAGAAAAACCATGTTCTTGTCTCTTAAAGGACAGAACATTCCTGGGTTGAAAAACGGGAAACATGAGGTTTCATTTCTTGCATCTCCAAACCTGCCTCCGGTGAAATGATACATGGAAACAGGGAATACAAAGTGATGTCAAACAAGCACAGGCTGTGATATGCTCTTTCCAATCTCAAACTCATCCACCTCCATTCACGAACCATATAAATAGAAAAAGCATTTCATTACTGTTGACCACCGCTGGCCCTGATAACAGCTGCCCCACATCACGCCAGAGACTCAGCAGAGGAGTGTGTCGCAGTGTCAAAGCTGTCCATGCAGACAGGAGTGCCCAAGCTCGATGGGTGAACGGTCATTTTATCTGAATGTTCCTAGAAACTGGAGGAGTTCTTCGCAATGACCGGAGAACCCAATATAGTATTACAAATATCTGGGGGTGGGTGGAATAGTAATAGAGGAACTTGATATAATGTGAAGGTGTACTCTGGCACCAAAGCATTGATTCTGAAGGAATTAATAGACCCTGTGAAAAGAATAGTTCACTGTAATCCAGATTTGTAGTGTGACATTAACTGTGACGGAAATTTTATCAAGGAACCACACATATAGCCTTCGCTGTTATTTTAAACAGCTAATAGCCAGTTAATGCTTCACATCCAAAACAAAAGTGTAAATGGATCTGCAATTGCTTACATTTTTTGACTGATTAACATTCAAACCCTTATCCAAATAATTGTGCACGACACGTTGGTTGCATTCCAACTCCCTTTATTATCAATACCACCTTGGGTTTGCCCAGACCTCTCATACTGGCATTTGTACCCAAACGATGATGTTATTTCCTCAATATCCAAAGTGTTTAAACCCACTTTTGTGTGAAATCATTTTGTCAATGAGGAACATTAGGTTTAATGATGTTGGAGCAGGAAGATTAACTTGATAAATTGTCCTCGAATATTTGTTCTCTGCAGCCTATAAATGCTGGATACTAGATCACATGTTCGAGGCAGGTGTGACTGTATGGCAATTGTTTTATTAATTGGTGGATTCAACAAATATATGTTTAAAGTCACCAGCAATTAGTGTTTGTGAGTTGTATTAGTGTCAGTAGTGCCTGCCGACTAAGAAAGAAAAATAACAATTTCATTTATTTTCTTGCTCCGGTGATGTGTTTCTAAAGGTTTACTGGTGGAAAAAAATCATGTCATTTAGTGTGTTTTTTTTTTACATTCCAAAGTTTATTTAAAACCTGTAGCTGTAGGGGATATGTCAGACGGCTGAGTTACATTTCTCCCGCTGATGGATCCTCCTGCCAGCCTGCTCTGCTTCTGGCTATTGTTTAGCTAATGTGAGATTTGGCTGATCCTCTGGAGGACGTAGAACCGCTCAGTACGAGCCTGAACTTATAACACTGATTACATTTAGTGGGATCATGTGAGATGATGATGATGATGATGATG